TTCATAGTAGCAATTACTATTCATTTTAAAAGGAATTTTTTTATTTTATTGATTTTAATGAACATTTACAAAAATTTTGGATTCCCATTTATTCATTGTTACACTTTTCTCCCTGCCCAGTCCTCCTCCCCAGTTCACTCCTCTCTTTGAAAAGTAAAAGAAAAAATTCTTTCATAGGTATACAATCCCCCCGCACCTCCGTCAATGCCCCAAATACACTCCACTCTGCAACCTTAATTCTGGACTCTTGTGATGACCATAATACCCTATCATATATCGCTTTTAAATTGTTCTCTCCCTCATCTGTTTCAATGCAGTATACATAATTTATCCAGTTTTTCTCATTTCTTACCCCAACCCTGATGTTAGCCCCATTCTACAACAGTGGCACCATGCAGTATTTGTCCTTTTGTTACTGAGATATTCCATTCAGCATAATGTCATCCAGGGTCACCCATTTTGAATAATATTGCATGAGTTCCTTGTTTTTCAATACAGCTTAGTACTCCATTGTGTGAATATACCACAACTTCTCTATCCATTCATTGTTGATGGGCACTTGGGTTGTTTCCAACTCTTTGCTATTGTGAACAAAGTCACAATAAACATGGGTGAGCATATATACCTGCTTGGATGTCGGTTATGGTCTCTTTAGGGTATATTCCCCATATTGGAATTGCTGGATCAAATTGTATCTCTATTTGCAACTTTTTGAGAAAGCGCCACACCATTTTCCACAGTGGTTGTACCGTTTTACACTTCCATCAACAGTGAATAAGGGGTCCAGTTTCTCCACAACCTCGCCAGAATTTGTTGCTTGCTGTTAAATTTTTCTGTTAAATTTTGCTATTCTGACTGGGGTGAGATGATATATCATAGTTGTTTTTAAAATGAAAAAGTTTTAGTACTCCAGAATCGAAAAAATAACCTACCAACCTGAAATAACACTAACACAGTGTTCTCAGACACAGCTCAAAGTTGGCAGCGTGATTCGGGAGTGCTAAATGTAGCTTCCAGCAATGGAGCTTGGCAATGTCATTTCTGCCACTTGGAGTATACCCTGTTTTGAAATAAGACAATGAAGGGGCAAGCACTGAACCCTAGTTTTGCTTTTTTACCTTTTTTCACAGAAATCCTTTCTGGATTTCCTTCAGTTTTCTAAAACAGATAAAAGTGAAATCTTATAAAATGAACTTTTCACAAACATAAAAAGTGAAATGTCATAAGACTTCTGAAAAGCAGGGGATACCAGTATATGTACCCCAAACATTTTTTGTAGGCTATGGGTTATTATTTCACTTTCTTAAGATCTTTAGTTCACAAGTGCTTATAATTTTGATAAAACCAAAGATCTATTTTTTTCTTTTGCTGTTTGTGATTTTGGTGTCATATTTAAGAATCGATTGTCAAAAACAAGGTTACAAAGTTTATTCCCCTGACTCTAAGGCACTACGGTTTTAGGGATTTTTTTTCTTTTTCACATTTAGGTCACTGATCTATTTTGAGCTAATTTCCACGTGTGGTGTGGGGTACAGTTCTAACTTCATTCTCTTCCTTGTGAAAATCCAGTTGTCCTAACACCATTTGCTGAAGTTACTTTCCCCACTGAATGTACAAGGTTCTCTTACTAAATTGTCCATAAAGGTATGAATTTATTTCTGGCCTTTAAATTACATTTCAATGGCATATATCTTTTCTCATATCTGTACTTGACTGTTTGCTTCATCACAGCTTCAGAGTGTGCTACAATCTGGAACTATAATTTCTCCACTTTTGTGTTCTTCAAGATTGCTTTGGCTATGCACAGTACTTTACAATCCCATTACAATCTTAAAATCAGTTTTTCAATTTCTGCAAAACATGCTGTTCAAATTTTCACAGCAATTGTGCTGAATCAGACAATCGCCTTATTGACTGCTTAATATTAACTTTTCTAACCCATCAACACAAAATAGCTAACTTTCCATTTACTTGGGCATTCTTTCATCTCTTTCAACAATGTACTGGGTCAATCCACAGACTACTTAAATAAATAAACAGATCAAATTTGGACCAAATGATGATATATAATGAATCAAAGTCTTTATGAAGTAAAAAATCCAAACAAACAAAAAATCCCCACAATTCCTACAAGTCAGCAGTACCAAAAGGTGGGAATGACAGCTGACATAAGAAGTCTCTCTTTGAATAAATAGCAAATTATTAATATTTTCTTACTGAAATTTTAACAAATTAAAAATAATTTGGAGTGTGTAGTGATAACTGAAGATAACTATCGAAAGGCTTCAGGCCTTTTGTGCATAGGGTCGTTATGAGTTGTGCTCATCTTGATGGCAATCAACAAAAAAACATCAAATATGTGTAAAGGCACCATATCATACCCATCATCACAACAGTCAAAATCATAATAAATCTCTTGGGTATCTTTTGGAGAGATAATTAATGTCTCATTGACGCATTTTGGTGCATTGCAAAGTATGCAATCAACAATGTTGAGAGAATCAAACTGAACTTTACCAACTATATGTACCTCACTGCAAAAGCATTTAATAATATTTGTTATTTGTACTGATGTTATTTGAATAAACCTCAGATTTCTAACTTTGAAATCATACATATGAGTCTTCATTGTTGTTATATGCCATTGAGTCACCTGAGACTTACAGTAACCCTGTGTACAACAGCTCTGAATTCTGCTCTATATGCTATCTCTGACAAACATACTCCATTATCCAAACTACTTTTTTTAATTAGCATAGATTTAACTTGTAGTTTTTCTCTATAGAAACAAGGTGCATTGAAGATTATTAAAAAGAATAATTTTCATGAGAATTCTAAGGCAATTTTAGTATATTCTACATAGTACTTTAATGTCTGAAATAAAAACACAGAGAACAGGAACTCTGGTGGTCCAGTTATATGAAACTGCACTGCAATCCCAAAGGCATGTGGTTCAGATCCACAAGCTGCTCCAGTGGAGAAGGAAGGACAATCTCTCCTGTATGAATTAGTGCCTCTGAAACCCTACTGGAGGTTCAGCTATGAGTCGGTTCCAACTCAATGGCATATAATCACAAGTTATATATTCATATGTGTGTGTTATAAATTTTTTAACAGATGCATGTGTTTGAGTATCTATCACTCTAAAAGTCATGTAATCTATTATCATTCCCAACTGTATTCCAGAAATAACTATTTTCTTAATTGGAATTCTACAAGGTAGTAACTTGAAACAGTTTATGTTATATATGTTTTTTTAGCATTACCAGTACATATATAATGTTGAGCTTAAATCTTACTATGCTAATGAGAGCTCAATATGGGAAAATAAAATGTTTTATCTATACTGTTGTCACTCAAAAATTAGTTCCAATCACTAATATAAATACAAATATTATTTTCCAGAGGTGTATACTGCTAAATAATTCATCCAAATGTCAATAGCAATTTTAAAAAATCCTTTCTGCCCTAAAATTTCAAACATCTGTAAAAAACACTTGTTTTGAAAGTGGTTTACATTCATGACATTTGACCTTTTGCTGTACACACCACAAAATTCAAGTCTCAAATACCATGCAAGCAGGAAATCTAACCATTCCTGCAGTAGCCATCTGTATAGTCCAATATCAAATATTAGTTCTAGGTTGCACTAAGTCATGTGTTACAAATCTTTCTCTGCAGCCTCTATAATTAGTTGTAATTTGCCTCTTTTAAAATGTGTTTCTTATGGGACATCTGGCCTTGAAACTTCCACCTTCTCATTGAAAAAATACTTAGTGTCTGGGTTTGGGGGGTTGTTGGGGTTTTTTTTTCTTTTAATATGAAGCACTGCTTGGGTGGTATAACCAAGTCCAGACTTCAAAACAAAATAAATTCCAAAAACAGATGATGATTAAGAACCATTTCAACATTGCCAACTATAAATGTAAAACTTAGTTGCAATATAATTACCTACAGATTTCTAAATCAATCTCCCAAGTATTTAAAGTTTTAAAAAAATTTCATAGGAATATAGTTATTTGTCAATTTACTTGGCAAGAACTACAATATTTAAGCTATAGTCTAAAATAAAGATTCCGAATCAAGTATTTTATGCAAGGAAAAATTTATCTGAGCCCAATAAGCTGAATATGACACTCAGAGTATCCACTTCAAGTATAAAATAATTGTAACATTTCAAAAATAACCACAACTAATTTAAGAAAAACTGAAGTACTATGTAAAATTCACTAAGATCACCTTAGAGTTCTCATGAAAATAATAATTTTAATAATATTCTTCAGTTCACTTTAATTCTAAACAACCTTCCTTAAAACTAAGTTAAATATGATAATGAAAGAGTAAAAAATAAGTTACAAAGATGCTATTTTTCTACAAGATAAAAATGAAAACATGTATCATATTAACACTACCACCTCAGACCTACTTGTACCTTACACTGAAAAAATTTGTTATGAAAACTCTTAAAAAAGTTCGACCTTTAAAAAAACACCAAAATTACATATAAGATCAGAAACAAAGAAATAAGCCAGAAAAGAAAAATCCATTTCTGGTATCAAAACTTCCAAGTTTATCTGTTGTAAATGTTAATGAAATATATTATGTTCCTGAAATTGAACTATGAAATTTACTGATTTAGAAATGTCATTTAAATTAAAATTCTTACACAGTCTCTGGAAATTTTTCACCAAAATAACGAGATCCAAGTAGGCCTAATTACTTAGAGAAGACACATATAACTACACTTTCTACATAACCCCTAAGTAATACACTTAATAGAACTGGATTAAGTAAAATTTGTATAAAAACATCCTTTAGATATTTCATCAAAATTTAAGAATATCCTTTCGCAAGTGTTCATATTACTTTAAGAGGCATGTAAAAAATAAAAGCACATAAAATTTATTCATTTTTAAATTGATCCATCTCAAAAGGTAAAGAAAGGCCAAATACAAAAACTATTAAAAATTATTAAACTAAAGTAGGTTCAATAATTTTACCTGTATTCCATCCTTAAGTTTCAAAATGCATTCCATTGTATTAATAGTAATTACCACTGGTTCTGAACCCAATTTGGTCCATGGTACATGGATCCTCAATTCATGAATATGTCCACTTAAAAAAGTGAATGGTAATTTCAGTTCCTAAAAAGATAAATTATTAAATAATGGTTAATAAGTAGTTACATATCTTTTCATTTAAAAATCCAAACTCCTGTCTTAAAAGAGAACTAAAATTTCCAACATAAAATGAGAACTATTATTCATATAAAAACTAGCATTAATTAACTTGTTAAAAGTTAATGACAAAAAAAAAAGTTAATGATCAGCTACAAAAAATTATTTTGTGAGCTATGTTTAATACAATATCTACCCTTTCCAGACATCAGCCTCCTATTTTGCTGGATATTAACAGAAATAATATACACTGCCTGATACATTATCAAGCTCATTAAGAGGCAGTTGTGGTGAGAGTAGTCACAGAAGTAGAAAACAGCAATACTTGAGGTAAGTACAATGATATACTTGCCTAAAATTTATCTTCAAAAAGTCTTAAGTTAACAATTGAAAAATATTTAACAGGGAAGAGAGAAAAGGGAGGTTGAATCAGAAATAGAAGAATGACCTGTCAAAACAAAAATATAACACTTCACCAAAGAAGACATTCAGATAGTCAACAAACATAAAAACAAGTGTTCAAAATCCCTAGCTCTGGGGGTAGAGGTGGGCAGGGAGGAAAATGTGCAACAATGAATGAATAGGGGAAAAATTAAATGGAAAAAATATGCTATAAAAAATATATATGTTGCATATGCACACCCATGTTTATTGCAGCTTTGTTTATAATAGCAAAGAATTGGAAGCAGCCTAACGGCCCATCAAAAAACAAATGGATAGAGAAGCTGTGGTATATCCACACAATGGAATACTACGCAGCATTGAAAAACAAGGAACTCATGCAATATTATTCAAAGTGGGTGACCCTAGAGGACATTAGGCTGAGTGAAATATCTCAGTCACAGAGGGAAAGATACTGCATGGTGCCACTGTTGTAAAATGGGTCTAACATCAGGGTGGGGGTATGACAGAAAAAACTGGATAAATTATGTATACTGTATTGAAAGAGATGAGGGAAAGAACAGATTAGAAGTGATATATGATTGAGTATTATGGTTAGCACAGGAATCCAGAATTAAGGTTGCATAGAGAAGTGTACTCAGGGTGGGGAGTGGGGG